AACATCTTAATAAAACTATGATAAGCTAAACAACAGTAATCAAAAGGTTATTAATAAGCAATCACAATTGCTCAGTGGAATGCAAAATGCTTGCTGCTCAAGAAATAAAGGTAAATAAGAAACAACACTTTTTGGGAGCTCAATATTGACAGAGGCAATATGAGGTTGGGATTGAGCTCTGTCAAGGAAGTTTGTCTAACAAGGACAAGGCCTGCAGTCCTAATGTCAACCCCAGAACCACTAAAAGAGGAACAAAGAGATTCAGCTAATTGGGCTGATGGCAAGTGAATAACCTTCTTCTATACTATCGAGTTAGTGGAATTTCATTTCTCCACAGGTTTTCTTATAGTGAAATCACTTCAGTGGTTTATTCAGTTTATTGAAATATAATTATGCACAAGTAACTGGAAAAAGCCTATTCAGTTAAAGCAATTAAATGATTACATTTTAGTAATTGACATTAGGTAAATTGATGTCTACGTGAAGAAGACTTCATCAGAATTCTTAATTTTGAGACAAGCATTTACATCTTATCTGAAAATTTATGAAAATATGTAATAGTACTACACTATTACAAATGGTCAAAATGGCCAGATGTATGTTTTCAAACATTAAAGACATAAAAAGTTTGACAATTATTCATAGATACTCACTAATTAAAAATGAGCATAATGCATATTTCCATTAAGTATAGGTTTTCACATGTTTATATGGATTTGTACACATGTCCATGAATATGTGTGACGAATGGGTCATTATTTGGTAAGTTTGGTTTTTACAATACATAATTATCACTTATTACTTTATTAAAATGTCCAATAATAGTCTTCCTATTACCAGTTGTCCCGTTTCATATGTCTTCACTTACTACAGTCAACTGCAGCCCAAAAATACTATAGGGGAAAGTCAAGATAGAAATAATTTTCAGGCTTTACCTTGTACTGTAGCCATGAATACTTGATAAATCTAGTAATGGTGCACATAAAATGAACATTGGTTAGGCTACTGAGTTACATTTCTGTAACAACTATAAATATTTCTGATAATGTATACATAAAAGAAAAGGTTTATTTTGCCTCACTGACACGAGAGATTCCATTCCGTGTCTGCTTGACCCTTTGTTCTAAGTTCATTACATTTTTTAAAAATATCCCTTTTCAGGTCCTTGTGAACAGCACATTCACTAAGTTTCTGTATTATCTTTTCCATTTCCATTGTGACAGCTCTCAGAAAGATGTAATCCCCATCCACTTGCCAAAGATTAATTATTTTGTCGTGCAGGTTAATAAAAAGTTTTGCCGAAATCCATGAATATATTTTGGTTTTCCTTCAATAATTTTGAGTTCTTGTTAGAAGTTTGTATTATCCTTTTTTTATTTATCTTCCATATGCAGTATGAAGTGAGCTTTTGGGTTCATGTTTTTTATGTAGGTCTTACACAAGTTTTTGAAATGAAAGCATTGAATTATTTTTGCACATCAAGGCAAGATATAGTTCCTGCAGAAACGATAAAAGAGCACACTTAGTAAAACTTAGTAAGACTGCAAGTTACTTCATCAAAGATCACAGAGTGCCAACGGGTAAGAAAGGCTTTTTATTATTAAAAGATATAAATGAGGATATGAAAGAAAAATATAATTTAAAAATCATTATTAAGATGATGAATGGATGACTCTCTCTCCCTGAGGTTTGTAGAGTCCTTGACAGCTGCAAGTTGACTAATTAGCATCATGAGCATTCCATGTAATTAACTCCTGATTGACTCAAAGAAGCACAAAGACTATGCGACAGTGAGGTTTCCTGTGAACTCTGCATGCGGTACATGTGTCACCATGCAACAAATGAAGATGACACACACTTCATGTGTTGCTGCCTCTAGAGCCTTGGAGTTTGTTAAAGGACGGAATGCCACTCAGCAACATCCACATCAACAAATGTTACACACTTAATGGGTGTGAACCCAACTGAAAAAGTAGTCAGAGTACAATATCATTGCACTCACAGGTTTGCTTCATGGGGAACTGAATCTCAATCTCTTCATCTCATGTGTGCAAAGGGCACAGGGTGTGAAGAGCTGAATGGACTTAACCAACTCCAATGTGAACTTTCATCAATGATGGCAAAATATCCCATAGACTTTTGATATGAGTGGTTTTCCTAAAACTCATTCTTTATTGGAAATTTTAATATAACTATATCCCACCTAGAAAATTAGTGATTTCCTTGATTCTCTCATATCAATAGCACATGATGCCCTGGAGTTACCAAGAAGAACAGGACAGTAAAGTGACAGGCGTGCTGGCAACTGTCCATTTGTGAAGAGTAAATGCTGCATAGAAAACAAGGATGAAAATCCGTCTATTCCAAATTATACTCTGCGTTTTGAGAATTGCATATGCTGGAACTATCATGATTGACTTGGTCACTGTAATACAGGGTGACACTTTAACTGAAAACCAGGAATGGGAACTGCTCTATCCTATCCATTGAGTTGTCACGGTGCTTAAGGAATCTGAGAGTTTTACTGATATATGCAACAAAACTGAGTTCTGGTGGAGGTGAATTATTTTATTTATAGCTTGTGTTTGTGTCACTGTGCTGCTCAACTACATTAAAAGATAGAGGCTTGACTTGGTGCCTCAGCGCAGGGAAACACTGCGCTGACCCTCAGTCAGAGGTAGTACATGTCAGTTAAACATAAATAAGTCACGACTAAAATGAGAGGTAACCTGATCTTTAGACCTTAAAGATACAAGTTCTTTTTCATACAAAACAAGGAGTTATTGAGATATTCTTGCTTATTGTTTCCACAGCTTTATGACACAGTTTGTCTAGGGGTTCTTTGGAGCCAGTGTGGATATCTAGTTTGCTTTGTAGCTTACTGGGTTCAGAGTTCTTCACGAACACACCTGAGATCCTACTGAACTTTACAGATTATCAAAGCACAGCCTACTGATTTGATACTACATTTAAAATTAGTTGCTTTCCTTTCAGTGCTGAGTAATAACTGCATGGCCTCGTGCATGCTAGATAGGCTCTCTACAACTGAGCTATATCCTCATACCTCAAAACTACATTAGGATTCACCTTTGGGAAAACACTCTCATTTTTCACACTACTAAAATATGTTTTACAAGTACACAATGTTGGGCTTTTAAAACTTGGGTTCCCATCTGAAATAATGGCATAGTATCCAGGTTAAGAGAAATAGTATGAATGATCTACCATAATTCACAAAGTATGCCTTTTGTCAATTTGAATATTACACTTTCCTATACTGAAGTTGAAATCTACTATCCCTGAACTAGAGTCATGAAGCACTCGTCAACTTTCAGACTGGCTCAATCAAAATGAGTCTTATTGTTACAAACACAACCCAAAGAACATCTTTAGAGGCCATTCAGTTTCTTCATCCCCAGTTACAGAACTTTGTGTATTGTCATGTTAAATTACATGATAATACAGCGTGTGTCACCTTTCCATTTGGATTTCAGCTTTTAGAAATATACAATGGACATCTTATGATCTGATATATTTTATTTTTCCCTTGGCAGAGTGTGTTTTTTTTTTTTTTTGGCATGGCATTTTTGATTGATGTTTCTTTTGGAGATAAAGCATAATATAAAAAAATTCTACTTTCCTTTGTATAAAATATTTGCAAATGGATGAGATCTTTAATAACAATATGCTAAAACAAAGGGATTCTAATTTACTCTAAAATATATGAGATGAAAATATACCATTTGGAAATCCTTTTAGAATAGTTATGATGAAGCTCAGTGATAGTGCATTTTCAAGAAGGGTAATTTAAACTTTGTTGTATGTTTAATATCATCCTATAAAGTTAATTTATGAGAGTAAGGACACATTATTATAGACTGAATCTGGATGAGATGAACTCAGAGATACATGATAACTATCTGGCCTTAAATGGATATCTAAAACCATTTTAGTGTTGCTTAAAGAATATTAGTTTGTTATTGGTGAAAGCATGAAGTTTTGGTTTAATGAAACATAACTATAAAAATATTCCCTTAAACAGTAATTAAGACTGTAGGGCTACTGAATAGAATTTCATTATGTGTACAGCTTAGCAACATCAATTTCCTATAAAATCAACACATTGATTCCATTCCTCCCTGGATGCTTTAGATAAATTCTTGGCAATAGCTGGTCTTTCTTCCTTTCAGTATATTTTTTTTAATTCATTTATTATATGTCATTGGACCCCAAGGCTTCATTTCATACTCACTTCTGGTCAAATTTCATGCAAAATCTCTAAGTAATTAAATTCTCTCTGAGTTTAAATTAGCACACTTGTGCATACACACACATGCATACATAGTGTATTTAGATATGTGTATGTATTCATGTGTGTGCTAGTAAACACATGGATGACTTCTTTTTTTTTTTTTTTTTTTCTTTTTTTTGGTCTTTCGAGACAGGGTTTCTCTGTGTAGCTTTGCGCCTTTCCTGGAACTCACTTGGTAGTCCAGGCTGGCCTCGAATTCACAGAAATCTGCCTGGCTCTGCCTCCCGAGTGCTGGGATTAAAGGCGTGTGCCACCATCGCCCGGCTGTGGATGACTTCTTAATCAGAATATTTTATGTGCAAGTCAAACTGTAACACTCCTATTAACATCCCTTTACTTAGAAATGTAACTCTGATGCGGACATCCATGCAATCTAGATTTCCAATCATTGGATCCTTATTTAATTTCTCATTACTATTTGTTGTAATTTGTTTCCAGATTCTTCAATGTTGCAGACATCCTACAACCCCTTCTGCTGTCTACCTTGTGTTTTTGTTTCTCAGCTTCATGTTCCTTTCTTTCTGCAAAGGATGCATCTCCTGGGGCGTGTGGTTTTTTGGTCTTTTTAATGGGTTTTGGGTCTGGGATAATTTTCATTGTTTAGAGGGGTTGGTTACAAGTTGTTGTCAAGGGTTAGGAAAAAAGGCTAAGCAAAGGAGATTAGATTTAAGGCTCTTGTTTTAAAAAAGAAAAAGAAAGAAAAGAAAAGAAACCGAAGACCAAGAAAATTGAAAAAACAGTTTGGGATTGGGAATTTATGAATGATATCAAACCAATATGGCAGAGACCATCCAAAGAAGTAGAAGAGGATGAATACAAAGCTTTCTACAAATCCTTTTCAAAAATCATCACTTTTCAAAGAAAAGTGATGACCCCATGGCTTATATCCACTTTACTGCAGAAGGGGAAGTCACCTTCAAATCAATTTTATTTGTGCCCACATCTGCTCCTCATGGTCTGTTTGATGAATATGGATCCAAAAAGAGCGATTATATTAAGCTGTATGTACGCCGAGTGTTCATCACAGATGACTTCCATGATATGATGCCCAAGTACCTTAATTTTGTCAAAGGTGTTGTGGATTCAGATGATCTCTCAATGTTTCCCGTGAGACTCTTCAGCAACATGAACTCCTCAAGGTGATAAGGAAGAAGCTTGTCTGGAAAACTCTGGACATGATCAAGAAGATTGCCGATAAGAAGTACAACGATACTTTCTGGAAGGAGTTCGGCACCAACATTAAGCTTGGCGTGATTGAAGACCACTCAAACCGCACCCGGCTTGCAAAGCTCCTGAGGTTACAGTCTTCTCACCACGCAACTGACATCACTAGTCTAGACCAGTATGTGGAAAGAATGAAGGAAAAACAGGACAAGATCTACTTCATGGCTGGGTCAAGCAGGAAAGAGGCTGAATCTTCTCCGTTTGTTGAGAGACTGCTGAAAAAGGGCTATGAGGTTATTTACCTCACAGAGCCGGTGGATGAATACTGCATTCAGGCCCTTCCCGAGTTTGATGGGAAGAGATTCCAGAACGGTGCCAAAGAAGGAGTGAAGTTTGATGAGAGCGAGAAGACTAAGGAAAACCGGGAAGCCACAGAAAAGGAATTTGAGCCTCTGCTCACCTGGATGAAAGACAAGGCCCTTAAGGACAAGATTGAAAAGGCTGTGGTATCACAGCGTCTTACAGAGTCTCCCTGTGCTCTTGTGGCCAGCCAGTATGGATGGTCTGGCAACATGGAAAGGATTATGAAGGCACAGGAATACCAGACGGGCAAGGACATCTCCACAAATTACTATGCCAGTCAGAAGAAAACATTTGAAATTAATCCCAGACATCCGCTGATCAGAGACATGCTTCGGCGGGTTAAGGAGGATGAAGAGGACAAGACTGTCCTGGATCTTGCTGTCGTTTTGTTTGAAACAGCAACACTCCGGTCAGGGTATCTTCTACCAGACACCAAGGCATACGGAGACAGAATAGAAAGAATGCTTCGCCTCAGTCTAAACATTGACCCTGAAGCACAGGTAGAAGAAGAGCCGGAAGAAGAGCCGGAAGACACAGCAGAAGACACGGAGCAAGACGAAGAGGAAGAGGTGGATGCAGGCACAGAGGAAGAAGAGGAGGCGGAGGAAGAAACAGCAAAGAAATCTACAGCAGAAAAGGATGAATTGTAAATTATCTTCTCACCACGGATCCTGTGTGGAGAGGGAATGTGAAATTTTAAAGTCCTTTTTTTGCCGGAGAGCTCTCTTGGCTGAAGCAGGAAGGGTAAGGCTCTTAGTTCTGACCCCTTGGTTTTCTTCTCTGAATCGGCTCTGTGTTTGTTATTTAATAAGACGGTTGGTTACATCTACATCTCTTGAGCATGCTTTCCTCACTTTCTCCCACTTCTAGTAATGTTCTTCCTAATTTTCTTTACATTCTTTCCAGTCCTCATACAGGCCAATTTTGCCTTCAGTAGAGAGAGCTTCCTTTCTAGCTGATCACATACACATTTCCAAAGTCTCCCTCACAAATCCACTACTGTTTTTTAATAAATAGTTCCTACCACTTATAAAAAGTTTCTTACGAAGTAAAATAGTTATATTTTGTTTGTGTTTCTGTATGTCTGTATATGCTTGTGTGTGTGTGTGTGTGTGTGTGTGTGTGTGTATATACACTTGTACAGATACACACACACAGTTGTGTGCCCAGACATTCTGTGTGCAGAAATTGGTATCATGTGTCTTATTCAACTACTCTCCACTTTGTTTCTGAGTCAGGATCTCTGGCTTAGCCAAAAGCCCACTGTTTGTTTCCACTAGAAGTACAGCAAATGACAAGAATCCTCCTGTTTCCACTCCCAAAGTCAGAACTAGGATTACAAGTTTGCCTTTCTTCAGCATTTCTCCATGGGTTCTGGAATTCAGCACTCATGCCTGTGAGGCAAGCAGTACTGGCTGAGCCACATCTCCAATCCCTCAATGGTTATAATTTCATTCCCCTCAATTAAACTGCTAGTTCCCTGGTTCCTATTTTCTCACTATATACTTCTTGGCATGAAATACCACTACACTGAGAACCTAAAGAGGTACTAGTTAATAAATTAACTGTGTTCTCTACAGCTGACAGGACATTTATTAAGTTGAAAAAGAAGATTCACTTACTTGGTACTCTTTGTGCAGTTGCTATAATGATGACGGGTTTTTCTCCACTTTGATCATTTAGAACAGATTTTTTTCCAGATTTAGACTTCAAGATTGCCAGAAACAGTTGAAAGACAGAAGACGTCATTAAGTTTAAAACTAAATTTTACAGTAGAAGCAGAATTGGAAGTGTTCATTCTTTATGATTGTGGTATTTGAGTCAAATAACATGTGGTTTACTTGAATGTTTATATTTATACCAGTAAAAATGCAGTGCTTTTACACAGAAAATGTAGCTTGTTTGAATATCTCATTGTCATTCTGTGACTTGAGAATCACATTGTTCTACATATCATTAATGAAATTTGTATTGGTTACAACAGAAAATAAAAGAAACAGGCACGATATAGAAGAAAGTTTCTTATATTTATAAAAAAATGATGCATCATAAGTATTTATTTATTGTTTGTTTGTTTGTTATTACTTAAGGAAAGTAAATTTAAGAAACCCCAGTACCCACTCAGAGAGAAACAATGGATGCATTAATAGAATTCCTAGCGGAGAGCAAAAGAATAAAACTGTTTCTTTTTTTCTTTTACTTTTCTGTTGTTTTTTTAATGAAAAAAGATTCTTCTCTCAGGCAGCACATCCTGACCACAGTTTCCCCTCTTCCACTTCTGCCAGCTAGCCCCTGCACCTCCTGTCTGCCGCATATCCATTCCTCCTCCATTTCACGCCAAAAAAAAAAAAAAAAAAAAAAAAAAAAAAAAAAAAAAAAGCAGGCCTCCAAAAGACAACAAACAAACACAACAAAACAAGACACAATAAGACAAGGCAAATCTCTCATATTGGGGCTGGACAAGAAAACCCAATAGAAGGAGAAGGGTCTCCAGGGAACCAATGGCAAGCAAAAGAGTGAGACACACCCACTGGCTCCCACTGTTGGGCGTCTCACATGAACACAACATATGCACCAGGTCTGGACCTGGTCCAGACCCCTGAAGGCCCATACTTGCTGCGTCAATCTCTGTGACCCCATGTAAGCCCTTCTGAACTGATTCAGTGGGCCATGTTCTCCTGGTGTCCTCCATTCTCTCTGACTTCTCCAATCTTCAATCTCCTCTTCTGTGGTATTCCCAGATCTCTGAGAGGAGGGACCCCATGAAGTCCTCCAATTTAGACCTTCTTTTGGCATAATGTCTAGATGTGGGTCTCTGCACCTGATCCCATCTGTTCTTGGAGGAAGCCTCTCTGTTGACAACTGGACAAAACACCAATCTATGAGTGTAGCAGAATATCATGAGGAATCATTTAATTTTTTTCTTTCTTTCCTTTTTCTTTATCTCTGTCTCTTTCTTTCTTTCTTTCTTTCTTTCTTTCTTTCTTTCTTTCTTTTCTTTCTTTCTTCTTCCTTTCTGTCAGTCATGTTTGGTTCTCCCTTAGGTCTCTGGACTATGCAGTCTCTGGTTCCTGGCCTTCTGAACTTCATTGGACATGGCTTCCCTCTTGTGTAGCGGGCCTCAAGTTACTCAAGTTAAACCAAGCATTGGTTAGTCACTCCCACAAGTTCTATGCCACCATTGTCCCAGCACATCTTGCAGTTAGGACATATTGTAGATTGAAGGTTTTTTGACTGGGTTGGTGTCCAGGTTTCTATTTCAGTAGCCTACAGAGTACCTTCCCACACCAAAGAGACTAGAATGTAGGGGTGAAGGCTCTACACAGGCAGCAGCTTGACCTTTCTGTGTGCAATGAGTTGTGTGGATGTTGCCCTTGGCAATGGGGTCCCACTCTCAGTTTTCAGAGAGCAATCCTCTGTCCTAGCATCTCTCTAGGTGTTTTAGATATAAATCTTATTCATAATTTATCCTGTTCCAAACTTCATGCATTTGTTATCATAGGGCTTGCTTACCATGAATCTACATGAACTTACTTCCAGGTTCCATGAACGTTCCTGTCTCAAGTGAATATTTGAAGCAAGAGAGCAGGACATAAATGAACCCTACCTGTATACAGTGTGAGAGCACATTTTTCCCACCAAATATTCTGCCTTGCTCTGGCTTTTAATTGGCCTCCTTTGTCTCTCCTTCCAACCCATCCATCCAACATCAGTCCATCTCTTTCTCTGCTAGTGTCTCATGTCTGTTTTTCTTTTGTATGAATTACTTTTAAGCCTTTCACAGAGTGAGTTCTCAACCTGTGGGTCATGACCCCACAGGGGTTGCATATCGGATATTTACATTACAATTCATAACAGTAGCAATATTACAGTTACGGAGTAATAACAAAATAATTTCATGGTTGGGGTCACCACAACATGCAGAACTGTATTGAAGGGTGGAAGCATTAGAAAGGTTGAGAACCACTGGTTTGCAGGATGCTGTTACTGCATGGATCTTAGTCTCACTCAGGTGTCCTGATATTTCTCCTTATTTGCTTCAGGTCTGTGTACATATGAAAGCAGCATCACAGAATTGACTCTGTCTTCTTTTCTTTTTTATATTGGGCCACAATTCTGCATGTAGTTGGTTGTGATTTTATTCATTATTATTAATATCGTTATCATTATTATTATTTATTATTATTAAATTATTGTAAGGGTTTTTTCTTTTTTGAGACAGAGTCTCTGTAGCCTTGGCTGTCCTGGAACTCACTACTCAGGCCAGGCTGGCTTTGAACTCACTGAGATCTACTACCTGCCTCTGTCTCCCAGTGCTGGGGTTAAAGGCATGTGCCACCACAACTGGCTTAGGTTGTGACTTTTAACTGCAATCATCAACCTGCTGGAGTGCTGCTTGTTTTCTCTGTTGTAAATTATTGTCCTTCCCTGTGTAGGTAGTGGCTGTTCATTGGGAGATCCTCTGAGCTATGAGGTTCCTTTGTTTAGTTACCTGTCAGCACATTGTTGTGTAGTGAATATTCTGCTGTGCAGAGGACAATACGGTGGAAAGGCTGCATCTCCCTTTATTTTCTCTTTTCTTTCAGAAAAATAAATTATCCATGTTATTTCTATTTACTTTACCTTGCATGCCAAATGTGATTTTTCTTTTTGCAATTTTCTACCCTGAAATATAATTTCTGCTGGCTTAGAGGCTATAAATATTTTACATTCCCACACTGTCACATATTTTTTAAAATTTATATTTTAGTATACTTTCCAGATTTAATTTTTATTTTAATTTCCATCCTTACCATTTGTATTTATATAACTCGGAAACTTCAGCAGCTGAAAAGTTTTGTGTCTACACTCCTGCACATCATCCGTTTTATAGAATCAATAATGCCTGTTTTCTCATACAATTATTATCGAAGACAGTGATTTATTGATTTTACATACATTAGTGAATCTATCTTACCATAATCTTTACACTCTCTTCTATTTTTAACTTAAAAATATATTCTTTGATGAGAATTTTAGTAAGGATGAACTTGTGAGTGGGTTCTCTTTATTCATGTCTGTATATTTACAAATCCTTTTATCTTGCACTTTCCTAATTCTCACATTTCATATAATCCTCGTTTGAACTTTGTCCCATGTGCATGTCAATGTACTTGGGTTTGTTTCTTTTTCATGCTGCCAGTATTCTTTACATCCTGTCTCGCATCTGGAGAGCTGAATGGAGGACACAATGCTAGCCCCAAGCTTCCCAGTTCAAATCTGTATTTCTTAGATGAAATTCTGTTGCACAGCGCTGCATGTTCAACTCAATACCTACTACAGCTCAATGCCCTTCTACCTTGCCTTGGAAAAAATCACCTCAAACAGGAGCTTTCTTAGAAAGAGAAAGGAGAAACTTGTAACATATTTGACATTCACCAAACATCTTTTCTTCTTGAATGTGCCTTCATGGATTATCAGTGCTTCTGATCAAGTACAACTAGTCCCGAGCTTCTAAATAAATGACTTATCTTTTGCTACTTACTTCCAGAGCTATAATCCAAAGATCTATGATTTCATTTCAGTTTAATAAATGTTTCACACATGTGACTTCTTTCTGGACCAAACCTACCAAGCTTCCTTTATATCTGAGCATAGTCAATATAAAACATGTTTTAGAAAGAGTAATTTGTATATGCAG